GGTGGCATTGGCACCCAGCTGGCACCCGCTCCAGCCTGCGGACACAAAGCACAGGGTGCAACGCCATAGGTCATGGCCATCACTGGTTTCACACCCTTTCACCCGACACGCGGGTTACCTTCTCCTAACGCAGAGCTTCCCCACGTCAGGGCATCCCATACCCAAGAACGACCCACGCTAAAGAGAGTCGCTCTTAAAACCAAGCAAATCCCAGAGGAAAAACTCCTCACCTTGCACCCAGATATCCCCTTAACGGCACCGGTACCGCCGAGCGCACAGAACACTGTTAAATGCTGATAAATCCTATCAGTTCAACCCAGTTGGCACATTTACAAGACTATTGTCTGAAGCACAATTTCACTTTGATAAAACAGCTGGGGAAGCTTTTCAAGGGTAACTCTGGTTTAACCTATTTCTTGTCTCAAGGCAAAGCTTTCCATTATTTATAACTAAGGTCTAATACTCGTGAAATAAAAACAGTATTTCTAGTAGAAGAAAATTCGTATCTTATGACTTGTCTGAGATTATGATGGTCAGAATACAACTAAACTAAAATAAGCCTTAAAACACCATTTAAAATAAACAAAAAAGCGTAACACAAACTACAAAAATTTCCATACCCCACCAACAAATAAGAAGCATATGAGAAGAAAACCTATTACTTTGTGTCTTCCACCTCTGATAAACATGAACACATAAATGTTCTGCATTTCTGAAATGTGATGATAAAAAAGGCATCGTCCTGCTTCCTGGGTGTTTCTAGGGCTTTTATTTCAAAAAGGCTGAGTTTATATTCAGATATAACATTTTCTCCTGCTTTGTTCTCTCTTTCCACCAGCCCCCAAACTTCTCTTAGATCTCCTCCTCTGCTCTCCCAGCCTTTCTCATTTATCCAAGCTGGTCAAAGCAAAAGGAATTTTTCCTCCTTTTTTTTTTTTTTTTTAGTTTGTTTGCAACAGATCTAATTACTTCGAAGGTCCTAAATAATGCATTTTGCTCTGAATATCCTACGCCCACTCATATAATGCATATTTGCCTTCAAACCAGACTTTGGTTAGCATTATTGGATTCACTGCAATCACACAGATGATAATCTTTTAACTGGAATTTTGTAATTAATTTTGTTGATAACCCACCAAAAGATGCCACTTAACCTTTTTCATTTCCAGTGAACATGCAATGACAAATTAAAAGCTGTGTATTTGCCCACTAACCTGTGGACAAAAAACTGCAGGCATATAATTAACTTCAGTGAAATCAGTGATGTCTACACATAACTCTTTTTATGCCAAGTCTTTAACCAACACCCCAAGCAAACATGACTAAAAACACAGCTGGAGAAAGCTTTCAAGGAGCTGAATCTTTTATGCAAAGATATTTGGAAAAGCAGAACATCCATGTAGTACATGTTGTAGTTAGTGTCACTTCCTACTAAGAGTATATTGGAAAGTTATACCCACCTGTTAGATTGTACTGATATTGGAAGCAATTTTGGTTTAGAATGCATGGTTTCATTTGTGAATCTTCAGGGCAGGGCTTTGTATTGACTGAAGATCTTAGCACTTGGCGAGTTCGGGTTTGCATAACACCTGGATCACACACCTGTGCACAAAAGTGATGTACAGTACAAGAAACCCCTGTAAATCATAGACACCGATCGCCCAGGGTGTTGCATCCACATCCATGGCCATACCGAGCTACGATACAGTCACACTTCTGTTCTAAAGACACTTAAAAGCACATGAAGGAAAAGAAATGTGGTTCAAAGGTAAGAATCTAATGTTAATAAAAGTCATCTCTTGTCCACCCTGATTTGGCTATTTTAGGCACTATTCACTCCGATAACTTTTTGTAAGGATCCTTGGGGACAATGCGATACAGACTGTGCCATTTTGCTGTGCTCTGCTCCCCACCTCTTCCCAAGACTTTTGGTAAAACACCATAGTACCAAACAACAGGACAGTATCTCTGGCCCAATTAACACATTTTTAAGTAATAACTGATGTTACAGCACAGATTTAATTTCTAGGAAGGACATTTGTAATTGCACATCAGTTACAATGCTGACAAGCAGATGGGGTGACTTTTCAAAGTATGTGATACAAATAGTGATGCCCAACTGCCTGCAAGGATTTGCTTGTTCACATTTTTCATGTGAGTATGAGCCAACTGAGCCTGGTTTTCATTTGTGTTTGTACATCCCACGCATGAAAATTGTTTGATTTTAGCAGTCTCCCATCCTCGCTCTCTTAGCACTGTGGCACAGGGGTGTTTTGCTTTCCATTTCAGCTGCAGACTTGGAAGCCGTGACCTGAAGTTTTCTGCCTTCCAGGAAACAATCCCTTTACGTAGAGGAAAGCATCTGCTCATCCACACAAATCTCCTCCCGCAGCCTCCTGCTCACCCCTCATCTGCAGAGAGCTCTTCTCTGTGGATGTCATGCAGAGGTCTCACCCGACTCTGCCAAGCTTTTCCAAAGTTTTTCCCTTGGTTTACTTAATTTGAGGATGTAGCATAAGCACTGGTTGGGCCATGGGAAACGCAGCGCTGCTGCTGGTGTCCCCACCCCGGCTGCCCCTTCCATATGTCATGCCAAGAGGAACTAATTCAGGAAGAAGGACGCATGGCACCAAAGTTTAAACACCAGTGACACCAGGCAAGGCTAATTGGTGGTGAAGAGAACAAAGGATTGCTGCACTGTATCTCTAAATCAAATCAGAGATAAGTCTAAATAAGCCTGTTCTGAAGCCAGGGTGATTATGGGAATACCGCTGGATCTCAGCAGTTTTCCTGCAATCCAGTACAGCGGGAATGGGTGTGTGGAAGTGGTCAAAGTAAACCTAATGGAAATAAAACCCTATTAAAGGCATTCCCAGCCATTTACTGAAGAAGATGACCTATTTAATTCCTAACAGTCTCTCATTAGGACTAAAGATTGCTAAGGAACAGCAAAGAAAACCAAAAGACTCAATGCATCCAGAAATACATTTTCATAAATGCTTGGGAATTTAAAACATGATTTTCCTATAGAGTACGTTACAAAAAAAAAAAAAACTAACAGTTTAAAACCACAGGCTTATTATCATGCAATGAACTGCCTGCAAACACTGAACCCAGCACAGGTGAAAGTATGGATAATTCCTGTATTGTGAATATTAAAGAGAAATGTAATGGCACTGCAGCCTGAATCTAGGTCTCAGACTGCTGTAAAGCGGATTAGTTGCACAGATGAGAGCACAACTAAACAGAAGAAATATCAGAACAAATAAGAAAAAAGTCTGGTACAGTCTTGAGATACATTGTCAGGGCCTATTATGCTTACTTACACTATGTGAAGAAAATTCTATTATGTTCTTATTGCTGACACACACACCTTGACAAAGCATTTTAAATGGCAATCTTATTTGAATATCCATGGTCATCTAAAATAACCAATTGCTCTTAATTATGTGAAAATTAAACCTATGCTATAGGTTTACCAATATTTTATTGTCTTTTCGACGAATCCAGTTGTTCATCCTCACAAGTAGCACTAATAGCTTAAATGATTTGCCAATGAAACAAAAACAAACCTAAAACAAAAAAACAAATCAAAGCGGGTATCTCGGTAGGTATTCCTAATTAATGTTTCTCTGCATTATGTTACCAAAGGGGGGGAAAAAAAAAAAATCAATGAATGCTGTGAAAGGAGTTAAGTCTGTGCCATCTCAGAAATACCTGCTTTTGCTCCCTTCAAAATAAGAACCTGCAGACAGAAAACATGCATCATTTGTAGATAAGTAACTTCTTTTAATAAAATAGTATTTTTCTCCCCATCCAGCGTGCACCCTGTTGTGCTGGATGACAGGGCACGGATGCAGCTAAGCGCTGCCCACGCCATCATACAGCCACCCAGATTTCCTGGCTAGTGGGACCATTCTCCTTCTCGTATGTCCTCCTGGTGGGTAGCAGACTGGTTTAACAGCCGTGACTCAAACAGGTCAAAGTCTATCTTGTGTGTGCCAGGATCCAAATAAACGACTTGTTTACTGGAGCTGTGAGGCTGGCGTTCTCACTGCACTGATGAGCCATGTTGTTCAGAAGCCAGAGCTGATGCGATACGCTCCCCCACTTTTACTGGTTCTGAATAATAAAGAATCTCTGTAGGAAAAATGTTCACTTAATCAAGCTGAGTACATGGGGAAACATGCAAAAATTCAAAGTCTGCAAACTGTAACTAATATCCTGTAATATTATTTGTTGAATTTCTCTTTACGTCAATTGAGAAGTCAATTTAGTTTTATAATTGATTTTCTGGCCTT